TAGAAAGTAAAGATTTGTGGCACGCGTGCACACACAAAATGAAGATTTGTAAATTTTGTTTTTGACTGGGTTGCTCTTGACACAAAAAGGCTCCACTGTGGTGTGATGCGGTAAGGGAAGGAAACCTCAGAGACAAATAGGTGCCAAGTTGTGCAAGCCTTGGGTACCCACAAACAAAACTATATAAACTCAGCCACCATTCTGACCCCTGGAATATCAAGGCACAACAGGATATATTGTGCTAAACCTTTCATTAAGAAGTCAGAATTTCTTGGCACAATGGCTATTACTGGCAACATACACACCCAGAACACTAGTTGCTAGAAAGTTCCAAACTTGTGCACATAGGTGCCTGGACCCCAGCAATGGGATCCAGAGAGACAAGGACTGAAAGAACTCTGAATGCTGCCAGTTTGTGTTAGATCTTCAGTTATTTTACTATAGAACTTGCTTCTGAAGTAGTAACATACGCACTGAACTCTTTTTACAATACTGTCCTCAGTCATCAAACATTCTGACTATTATGAGGTTTTGTTATACTGAGGTAAGTGATACGGAACTAAAAGGTACATAAATCTTGTATAAAACACTGTAAAATCAAGGAGATCTTAACAAGAAATGTTGGGCATTGTAGACAATGATTATTTTTAGTATTCATATATCATGTGATGTGATAATCAGTATATGATATATATTCATTATATGTTAATTAGAGTTGATTTGTAGGATGATAAAAAGTATAAGATTAATCAGTATTTAGAGGAACCAAGTATTAGACATGAGTAAGACAAGCTGAAATGCAAGATCTATAGGCCGAAGCCTGCAAGACTTTAGCTTAGCTAGTTTAGGCTTTGGAGACAAGAAATTATTGCGCAAGACAATGACTGAGAAATAACCCAAGAGATGATGGGAAAGAGGGATTAATCAGTAACATTGCGAAAGTACAGCTGGGAAGATTAAAATTAAATAATAAAATGCTGAAACAACAAATTCTTAACAAGTGCCCTAACCGCAGACAAAGGTGGTACGTCAATGTTGACAAGAACCTACCCAGCCTATAGAATTTGGGGTCCCTTGTATTTCCAGGGGACACAAATCAATAAGAGAGAGAGGGTTGACACTTTTATGGACATACACAGAATGTGGGTATAGATCAGTAGTTCTCAAACTTTTGTACTAGTGACCCCTTTCACATATCAAGCCTCTAAGTGCGACCCCCCTTATAAATTAAAAACACTTTTTTATGTATTTAACACCATTGTAAATGCTGAATGCAAAGCAGGGTTTGGGCTGCAGGCTGACAGCTCATGACCCCCCATATAACCTCAACCCCCTGAGGGGTCCCGACCCCCAGTTTGAAAACCCCTGGTATAGACAGACTCACAGTATAAAAGGGGTGCCCAGAGCAGGGAAATTGGGCTTCCTATGGGAAACTCCAGCAGGACCACTCTTGTATTGATAGTCCAATCCATGAGAGGGCCATCAGACTCTAATACCATCTAGGAGGATGCGAGTATGTCTGTAGGTATAACTAGTTCATTATACGCATCCATAGGAACTGTAAATGTTGTGACATTTACAGCTTTGTTGGTAACTTTAATAAAACTACTAAAAGATAGATGCTCTTGTTGTTATTTGCCTATGGTTTCATGTGTTCCTATGAACTCTACTTCTAAAACTAACAGAGGTGACGCTGTGGAATTTGAGACAGTAGCCGCAGAGCTGAACCCACTGAGGGATAATTAACATTGAATAGAATAAAAGGCTACAGCATACTCTTAACTTACATGGTTAGGAATATCCAAGTTGGTGCTTGGAAAGCGGACGCAATTTCTGCACATTTTATTTACTAAATCTTCACGAAAGATGATGATTTCTTGTGTGCAGTATTGAACCCTGAATAGAAAATACTGAATGAAATTTTAATTTTCCTGGCATTGGAATGAAGTAATACATGTTAAGAAAGCCTGGAAAAATATTTCAATGTCAATCTCTTCCCTATTGTTTATACCTACAAAAATTAAAGATAAATTGCAATTAAAACCACTTTCTCCAAATCCTGACATCACACCTCCCTTCCTTTCAAATATAGAAAAGTAAACACATTGGATCTGAGCTGTCTTTGTTTATATTTCTGCTACTGAACTTTTAGGTGAGGGAAGAATACAAGATAATTGCACACTATGTATAGATACTAATTTTAAAGGATACATAGACTTCTTTATTCCTCAATAAATAAGTAGAAAAGGTTTCAAGGTAAAATGTACCTTTTACTGCTAATGTTTAAAACTAATTTCCCTCTAATATATTTATTGTAGCTATCACACATTTTAAGAATGTTACTTCTACACACAACCTGGTCACTTATGAAAACAATATGAAAAATAGCAATAAGCGTTTGGCATTCTCTAGTTACTGTAAAAGTCACACATTTACCTGCAAGGATTTGTAGTGAAAACTGAAAATGGCACCTGCTGTCTGAATTCACTAGTGATGTTTTCGGCTAGTGGTGGCCTACAACAAAGAGTAACATTGCAGAAGATTTGTATGCTCTTTAGCAATATTGTACTAGAAAGTTCTTAAAATTAGAAAAACCATGTAGCAAACTCGCCTTGGCAAAATTGGACCAGGACCAGGATCTTCAGGACCAGGAACAAACACAAATCGACTGCTATAAACAATTTAATGCATAACTTGTGTTTAATATAGGCATAATTGCAATTATCTAAATTTAAGCTACATATTATGAATCAAACTACACAGACGCTTAAGTAATGTTACTCTATGGGTACCCATTTTGGGGACCAGCTCCAGTAAATTGAGTGCTGTTATTACAAATTCAGAGCATCAGAAGATGGAGAGGATGAGCTTGGCTATCCCTGCCTTTCCCTCAAATCCATGTAGTAGTATTATTTATTTGTATGACCATAGTCACAGACCAGGGCCCCATTGTGTTAGGTGCTGTACAAACACAAAACAAAACGAATCCGTGCTCAAAGAGCTTACATCGAAGTATAAGACGAGACAACAGATGAACAGACAAGTGAGCACAAGGAAACAACGAGAATATGGGTCAGCATGATTGGCAATGGTGTCAGCAAAGCAATGGCCTAACCACTGTCAAGTTTTTTGTAGGCATCACAGCAAAGGTGAGTTTTAAAGAGGGTTTTGTGGGGAGCGTCAGCCTCACAGCCATGGAAGGAGGCTTTGAAAGACCAGAGAAACAGGAACAATGAAGTGTAGGGAGATCATTTACAGGAGCTCCCCTTCTACTACATTGCTCCTAAAATAATGGCTGTGGAAAGCTGTTTGGGGGAGAGGAGGAAAGGAAGTGGGTCTGTATCAAGTCAATATTTCTGATGAAACTTTCTGGGGCTTGCATAGCTTGAAGGCCTGCAGTTGCTTCCAGCAGTGTAAGATCTTACATTTGCATTTATAAAATCCAACTTAGGCCCTGATCGTGCAGCAAGCTTTGCATGGACAGACCCCCCACCGGGCACCAGGCACGCACAGAAGTTCACCTGAATATCACTCTGGCAAGATCAGGGAGTATAACTAGTATACATGAAAACAGTTCCAGAGCTGGAGAATTGGTCTAACCTTTGTTCAACAAACTAGCTCACATTACAGAGCTATCACAGGCTGGACCCAAACCTTACACACCTCCCAAAATAATAATATGACCTTGTTTCAACACTGTGGCATGGTACTGTGAACAGCTACACAATCATAGCTGACCCATAGTAATTAATGAAGTATTTAAAAGTAATTAGCACAACTATTCTGTTAACTTTTTCACATAATAAACATAACATTACCATTATGTAGCATTTTGATACATACCTTTTATGAATGCTGGGGTATTCACATATTATGTCGGCAAGAGCCTTGAGGGAATCTGAAGTCAGAAAAAAAATGCATTTAAGGATTTCTTATGACACTATCTGTCTGGACATGTTTTAATATGTCTAAAATATGGTCTCTCCTAAAACATTCAAAATGTAATACAAGTGAAAAAGTATATATTTTAATCAATATTTGTTACCCATTTAATGTACAATAAATATCCGACTACAAAGACTTTCATACCTTTTAGGGATTGAATTTGATTTTTTCCATATGGTGCAGATGAAAAATTTCCACAAAAGAAAAAGCAAGTTGGAGGCACAGAGGAGTAACCTGGGAAAGATACATGGACATTACACTCAGTATTCCTTTGTACTTTAGTATTCTTCACTGATAAACAGTTCACCCTCCAGTCTGTTTCATTAGGATCAGAAGCTGGGGCAGTGCTTCCAGCTTTATCACTGTTAACGTGGCCAAGCAATTATTTTAAAGCAGGAATTTAGGAGACAGCTTGCTTATTTATTTATTTATAACTATTTAGAGGGGAATGGGATTGAGATGCACCATCTCATTTACAGGGAATCCTCGGTTATCTGCAGCAACACCACCACAGGGTCTGCTCCAGCTCCAGACTTCAGTAGGAGCAGATTAGGCCAATAGTTAGTATTTCCACACAAAAGCAATCAAATCACACCAGATTTTTTCAAAATAAATACACTAATTTTAAAAATGCCTACTTCCCCTTTACAATAGTAAAAAGGACAGATACCCTTACAGTATCTGTAAGATGTGTGTATATATGTTCCAAAGTTTGAGTGCACGAACACATGCCTCTCTCTCTTCACTAAAAGGTAATTCCAACATACTACAGTGTACTTATTCCTTCTTTAGATTGTTAATTAGAGGTACCTCTCTAAACAGTCTAAGTCTCTCTGACAAATATTTTAAATTCAACAAATCACAAAAAGAAACAGCAACCTGATAACACAAAATACTAGTAAGTAATCCAACAAATTAAAATAACCAAAATAAACCAAATTACCAATAAAAATTAACAAGAACAAGTACTGAGGCTTTCTTATATATCTCTGATTTACATCCCAATTTTTTAAATTATTCTATTCCAGGCTCAAGTTTTGTTCCACTGGCTTAAAATTCAATTGATAAATGAAGCATCTAACAAAAGATTTTATGTCAAGAAAAATTTAACTCCTAACCAATGTCTCTATTCTGACATCTCTCCCAAATATTACTGTATGTTTTTAAAAAGTATGCCATATTTATTTATCTATAAATAAAACTCTTATTTGACCTAATTTTTGAAATAGTAAATCTATTACATGCATCCTAAAAATCTATTACAAGCATCCTAGGATACTTAACTGATCAAGATCCCTTTATTACTTTATCATATGCAGTCTTACACCAGTTTAATTATTTTGACAAATGTTGACAAGAAGTGACTTAACTGGTTTCCATAATGTCTGATACTAGGATAGAGTTTGATAATTTGTCTCCAATTTTCAATAAATTAACAGTAATTTCCCACCAATGATTTTGATTTTTCCACCTCCAAACATTTCCATTCTATCCAAGGCAGAGAATACATTTTGTTCCAAAATACTTTTGGAACGCCAAGAGGCAACTCATGGATCACTCAGACATTTGCTGTACAAGACCTGTCAACACTACTAATGTAATGATATGTGTGTGTGGGTGGGGGGGGGGGGAGGGGTGGGAAGAAACAGTGCATATTTTAAGAATAAATCATAGCATGTTCTTACTGCTAAAACCACCAAGGGCACAAGAGGCAGTATTAGATTCCATAAAGGAAAAGGTTTCTTTAAAAACAAACCAAAACAAAAACAAAAGGCCAAGGAAGAAACAAGGCAAACATTCTTGTCACATCACATAACATGGCTACAACTCAAAACAATAGTGTTACTAAAGGAAATAGAGAGAACTATCTGGGCTCACAACTTTTTGCAAAAACACAATGCAGATCAATTTTAAAAACGGTTAGAGAGGGGTCCAAATAAGAAAAATAATACAAGCCATGAATCAGAGCTGCAACCACTTAAAGAAAGATCGACTTTTCATCAGAACTGGGTATAGATTTGGCAGGGTTCTACACTCAATAAGATGTGCCCCACGTAACTCTCTCTCTGAATGTAAGGTTATCCAGTCATGTGTTCATGCTGACAGTGGCATGTGGCTAGTGACTATTACGCTGCTGCCCCCGCTTTTCTCAGCATCTGCTTAACAGTGACAGATTAGTTGTCATATCACAACTTGATGAAAAAACACCACAACTCCTTTTTTGGCAAAAGAACCTATTTAAAGTCATAAAGCCAAATCAAACTGCTGAAACATTCTTCAACATAAGGATCAGCTAAAAAAGCAAACAACACGGCACCTACCTGAAAACATAGTGTGAAGCTTTTCTAACACTTCCACTTGGTCCAGCCAAACATCAGAAACAAAAACAAACATGGCATCTTCATTTTCATCCTCCAGTTGTTTCAGTTTTGCAGAAGCTTTTACTGAAGTTGAAGAAGGCCCTCCAAAAAAGTTTATGTTCCCATAATATGCCCTACATAATTAAAAACAATATTTTGTCATTCTTCAGGTTTTTATTTATTTTAACATGTTTACTGCCGTAGTAATTAAGGGCCACTCAAGAGTGGGACCCCACTGTGGTAGGCATTGTACAGAGTAGTAGATGGTCCCTGGCCTTAAGAGCTTACAATCTAAATATAGCAGGCAGACACAGGACGGGAAAGGGGTAGAACATACAAGCAGAGTGAACAATGTGGTAGCAGCAAACAGCATCTTGGTTCCACAATTTAATTAAATAAATTTATTTATTTTGGGTGAGTTTACCTTAGGAGGGGATCAGCTAAATAGAAAGAAATGGGAAGGGGAGAAGAGGATAATGGGCAGGTGTGGAGTGAAGATGAGGTGAAGAGACTGTGAAGGAGGAGTCAGGGGAATGGAAGGGTCGGAGCAAAGAGCTAATCAGCACAGGGCAGATAAACTACCATCAAACTGTAGAAAGTTCTTTGAATGTCCAGAGATCTAAAAGGTCTCTGCTTTGGCTTCTTCCACCCCTGCCAGTTTGAAACTCTAGCTGGCTCCTCTTGCAGTCCACATGGGGGCACCACCTCGATCCGGAGACCTAATGCCTGCCAGAGTAGTGGGGTTCTCCACTGCACAGTTCTGGATTCAGAAGGCTGCTGGGGGAAAGGGTGGCTCCAGCTGATTGCTATTTTACCCCTTACTTCTCCCCCCACTCCCTCCTACTGTGCAGCAGTCCCTGGTTTGGCTGCTTCTGCCTCTACTTGGTGGAGTTTCTGCCTGGAATCTCTGGTTAACCCCTTTTTCTTCCCAAATCATTTTTGGCTTCTGGCTAGGACCCATTTTCCCGATTAATATAAACTTTTATTATGAAAAATCTTTACTAATTGAAAATTAGACAAGATGACATTCAGTATCTATATGGGGGGGGAAATCAAGGGGTGAAGACAGAAAAGACAGTCATCCAGACATTAAGCTTGGGCTTTGACTTGCTAAACTTTAAACACGTTCTCATTGGTGTCTTGGTCCTGGGTTCTCTTTCACATTCATCCTCAGAGCAATCCTTGCATCCCATTTCCTCATTCCCATGCAGTAGTTTCCCAATCTTTATCTAGCAAGGGCTTATATCATTATCAATATTAATGCACAAAAGGCCCGATCCAAAGCCCCTTAACCACTGGGACTCTTTCCACTGACACAATGGGGTTTGGATCAGGCTCAAATGGACCAGCAAGATATAAAAGTCAATGCAACATTTTTAAGAAAGAAAGGAAAGCACACCGTTGATGTTCTACAAATAACAAACAATAGCAGTACTTTGAAAGGTATAACAAAATATGAGAAGTCAGAATGAAGTAATTAAAAGTCATTTTTATACCTAGTGGTAGCAGAAGGCTCAGTAGGTGGAAATCCAAAAGCATTCACATGGAATACTTGATCTTCATACCAGCCTAGGAAGTTTAATCCCCGCCCCACAGAAATACATTTTAGTAAATTGAACATATCTTTAACACTGTATTTTATACTAACATTGTTTCCATTTAATAAAAAGCAAAAGCTCAAAAATATGAAAATGACACTACTTCCACTCTTTCTTATTTATTTTCCATTTAGTTAATTATGAAATCTTTAAAACATTATATATTATCATAAAATAAGAAACTGTTGATATTATGTAGATATTATGCATGTTGAAATTATTTATATTTTATAAAGTAAAGTGCTACCAGTAAGAAAAGTTGTCCACCTGAATTTATGCCAACATAGACACCAAAAGCCCCAATTCTGCACTTAGACACACGTGCTCAAATTTACGACTGTGTGTAGTCCCATCACAGTGTTTGCAGGATTAGGGCCTTACTAACAAGATAAAGCATTTTGCAATCTGAAAATATTGTATTTGCCTCATTAAATTATTTTCTAGTCCCACACCAACGTTGCCACTATTTTCTTTCCCCAGTTTAATTCATTTTTTCTTCATGCACATCCTCTCCACACAAACTGAACATCCAGTCTTGAGAGGTGCTAAGCACTGTTGGGTCCCACTGATTTCACTGGAAAAAGAGTACTCAGAACCTCTCGGGGTTGAACCCCATAAGACAGCGATTGGCTGTGAAAGATCCAAGCTCAGGGGCAAGAGTTTGAATCACCCTCTCAGTTCACAGACAAACCTCATTAGCATAAATACGGACTTAAATCATTTGCTTCTTTATCCACCTCAAGAGAGTATATTGTTACAATAATGGTCCGAAGAGAAAGGATAATAGTTTAAAAGTTAGCAAAAAAATGTTGTTTTACCTTCTGCCAAAACAAAGCATGACTCAGTATATAAGCCACTGTGGAACTGGTGCAAAGCTGTTAAGGACAATGTTCTTGTTCGATGGAGATACTGAAAGAAAATCTATTTTACAGGTGGTGTAGAGTAAGGCTGGTTGGGGGCAGTGTAAATGCATTACATGCTGAATGAGAGTAAGGTGATCAATCTGGTAGTTGGCTGCATGGATAGCACGTGAACAGGAACATCCCCTAACTCCAGACAGGTTTCCAAGAGACAGAATACAAACCCCACTGCAACAAGCCCAACCCCTTTTTATGTCTTTGAGCTGAGGCAAACTCAGTTATTATCATGGAAAAAAGTGGAGGACTGCAGTTGTGTATGTGTACTTTTAAAATGTAATCGTTCGCCTTTTTAAAGTGTGAAATGAAACAGTTTTACAGTAATTTTTCTGAAAACCTCTTAAATCCCTAAGTTGCATAGAAAGGATATTGCTTTACTAAGGTCTAGCTGAACAACTCCTGTAGGATCTTCCAAGAAAAATTTCCCCTAAAAAGTAAAATTAAAAAAAATCAAAAGCATATCAAAACAATGTATACCTCTAGATCAATGGAGATTATGCTATCACACTCCACAGAGAAGCAGAGTCTCCACACTATTGTCAGGGACCCTTTTGACCCCCAAATCAGAGCTGATAACAGGGTAAAAGCATCTCATTTCCCCATCTTCAGCAAGTGCTGCATGTGGCTGCATACTGGGGAAGACATTATGGGAAAATGGGTTAACCCTTTTTCCTATATTTGTTAGGCACCTACTTATTCTTAGACACTGGTTCAGAGAATTCATGACTCCAATGGCAATCACCCTTTGCTAGAATGTTGGCCAAAGGAGATCTCACACAAACTCCCAAACCATTCTCACAAAACGGATTACTCAGGCACCAACTGCTGGCTTCTTCATAACAAAAACAAAGAATTTCATTGTGCTAGTCCATGCCAAACAAACCAATTTCCAAAACCAACCCTCAACTTAACCACCTCTGATTTTAGCCAACAACTTACATCAGTGACGGAACCAGATTATCATTAGGCACACTGCATATTTTTTGGCTTCAATCTTGATTTTTAACAAGTTTCAGAACATATAAAGGGAAAGCATTTGATACACTTATTCAAGAAAAATCATGTCAGATGTTTAAATTTAAAGACTATGTCGTTTTACCTTTCCTAGATACTTGAAACATACCATATTGCAAAAAATGCTTCTAGTTTATGAATCTAGCAATGACTTAAGCAAATGTTTTTATTTCAAACATTGCAACCTTAGAGAATTAAAAACAATCTGATAAAGGATGAAATTGTAAAATATTTTATCTGCAGAAGTTGTTTTGATTTTTATACCCTTCTTTATTGCAAGAGGTATAAAAAATGCACTGGCAAGTTCAGACATAACATTTCAGGATTTCAGTGGTTGAAGTTGGAACTCTCTAGAAACTGTCTGACTAACAGTCCAGATTTACAGGAAGTTGAAATGCTACAAAATTCTGTCCTTTGAAGAGAAAAATGCAGTTACCCTTATGTGTAAGTTATTGACTGTTCCTAAGAAAGCGTTCCGTATAAAAGACTTTTTCCTGCATCATTTAAGTTAATGGGGGTTTTGCCATTGACTTAAATAGAAGCAGGATCAGGCCATAATTGAGATATTTAAGCCATATAATTTTTTAAAATATTGTATTGCTGAAAGCATGACAACTAAAAGACTCCACAATAAAATGTATCCTACCTCTTTTAGCTGTGTTATCATCCCAAGAACAATCACTTCCCCAACTTTAGCTGTATTGCCCAACAGAGTTTCTATTGTTTTAAGCTGGAATCAAAGAGTGAAGTAGGTGAGATTTAAATTACACCTTCTATAAGTCTGTTCTTAAGTAAGCAAGTTAAGTACTGCACAGTACATGCTATAGTTTGTATACATAAATTAGTTATAATATGATTCAGTTTTACTGGTAACTTGAAGATACATTTGTGTGTCCTATGCACCAGTGTTTAGGGAGAAAACGTTAATAATGGCTACTATCTTAAAATTGTTCAGTGGGTGAAACAAAAATGGCAAAAATATGAGAAGTTTAATTTACAAATGGATTAAAATTAAACATACGGGGCCAAATTTCTGCCCTGGAATAAATTTTGTCAATGATAGCAACATACATTTATCAGCAGAACAGAATTTGAATCACAGAGCTAGCCCACAAGTCATTTGGTAACACCAGTCGCTTTTAGTTAAGAGTCATGGTTAGGAGGACTCAAGACAACACCTGATTCTCCAGAGTTCTGGAAATGTGACACAGCTGATACCAAAAGTCCTGTGCAAGGAAGGTGCAGTCTATATCACTACCGAGAAACCGTATTTTGTTGGGCCAGATTGGCATTATACTCTAATCAGAAGAAGCAACCTTCTTAGTGTCAGCATACACATTATGCATGCTCCTGGTGACAGGGGAGACGTAGCAGTCAAGAAAGTAATATACTAGTGTAGAATTAAGACGGATTTATTCCAACTCAATTTAGATCTATTTATTTTGCTCTTTCAAAGCCCTTGCAGCACTTTCGATATGGAGAAAAAGGAAGGGTCAGGACAGTGGATAACTGACAGGCTACAATTTGGTACCTGAAGCTCCCAACCCACAGCACAAATAAAGACACAGAAAGAGAGAGTGAGCTTATTGGTAGTAGGCTGATGACTTTATTAGCTCTAAATTTGTGAATTTAGTGCTTATGAAAGCGAGGGATGGGGAAAATATCTCAAGCTTAATGGAAGCAGTATGGGAAGGTTCTCTGCCAATGCACCTCAGCCAGACCTCTCTTCCAGTTAAAAGTTGTTTTTGAGCAGCCTGCTCGTCATGTTGAATTGAGCCAGATACAAAGATTTTGTGACGTAGAAAGAGACTAAGACAATAGCAAATATCTCATGTTCATTGGGTACAAAAGTCAGGATTAACATTGGGTATCAAGTGGGGAAATATTAATGAATTAAACCACAATGAGCATACACTTCTCCCCCACCCCAAGAAAATACTAATATTTTTACCTGGAATTTACTCCTGCTGTCATCAGGATGAGCACCAATCGCTGAAGGAGTAAACAACTCATGTCTATGAGTCCTCTAGAAAAACCGAGATTAATGTGATCTAGTTAAAAATGATCACCACCACCCAAAAAAAGGAAAAGTCGACTCACTACATACACACTATATGAAATGCTATTTTTAAATTCTCTTATTCAGTTTCAGCCAACATCTTGTGATTTGGAAACCACAGTATTTTTTAACAAGAATTTACTTCCAAATAATAAAGCATAAATAATACCTGCAATAAAACAGAAGTTTGAGAGGTAACTTTTTAAAGACATGAAAGATGTCTTGTTATATATTATTTATAACAACATTAGTACCTTGGCAGGGAAGAGGTCCCAGTGATGGACCCATTGTACGAAATGCTGTATACAAACATATAGTAAAGAGGCAGTCCCTGCCCTAAAGAGCTTACAATCTAAGAAGTTAAGCTCCTGCATTAATCTTTGCCTGGTAAACATAGGCCCCATCATTCAATGCTTTAAAAGTGAATGGCAAAGAGAATGAAGAAAAGTTTTCAGCTTTACAATGGTATTTGTTTTTTTTAATGGCTTTTATGCACCCACTAACATGGCACTTGAACACCTGACCCAAAAATAAATGCAACAACAAATAAAACTGAATTCCAATCGGCAACTCAAACTGCTCTAACCCCAGACCACCCCAGCATAGTGCAAGCAATAACCCAACAAGGTCCACAGGCTAATAAATCCCTGACCAAAACAAAATGTGATTGGCACCTCTAGTTTAAGATTAAAAAATCCCAGCCTTCTGGAGAACCAAAAAGAGTGAGTTACGTAACCAAAGCCCCCTCTAATGAAAATGCCCTGCCTCCAGCAATCAGGAATGCACATCTAAAGCTCTCAGAAGAAGTGCCTCAGTTTATCACAGATACCATGATATTGCATAGGAAAAGAGGAGGCATCCATGGTAGTCAGATTCCACATGATCTGGAACTTCACAGATCAGAACCTACACCTTGAATTGCACCTAGTACACTTCATGGAACCCAGGGATCATGTGCTCAGATCAACAAATTCTACTAATCAGATAGATGGCTGCATCTGCACCAAATAAAGCTTCCAAGTGGTCTTCTAGGGGGTATCTCCCAATAGAGCGCATAGCACAAACCTAACCAGGCTATGACAAACGTATGGATGGCTGTGAGGAAGAAAGCCAGAGCCTGGAATAGTACATTTTGTAAATTAAAAGATGACTAAATAAAATATCTTAGCAAACAAGAATGCCTCAAATATTAAATAAAGTATGGGGTTTTTCGTCTTTTAACCTGTCAGAGTCCCAGCCCACACTATACTAATGACATTACACTCAGTGAAACATGGAGCCAGCCTACGTGAGAATTAAAGAGTCACACACATTCCTCCCTCACAAAAATGCATTTCAATTTTTAATGGTTTCTATTAAAAAAAAAGTCAGAGAAGAGTTTGGTGCATGCTACTAGTTTGCAAAGTTTTTATTGTACCCATAAGGTACATAGGCTTTTCTATTAATAGTCTTGCTTTACAAACCTGCGCAATATAAATTTATTAAGGAACAAATTCCATCTCCACCTCCCACCCTAAACCTTCCCCCCCGTCCATCTCCAAACTCTAGCAGTTTCCATTATGCATGTGATGTTGCCAGTGCAGCACTGCCTGCAACATCACTTGAAGCAGTAGCTTGTAGTCCCACAGTTTCAGTGGACCTTAAATTTTAAGGCTAAGATAGAATCTGTTTGGTGCATTCAGCATATAGTTCAAAGGTTGGTATGTGATTCTTAATGTTATTCACAGATCACCTTTCAAACACAGTAACAGATACCAAAACACATTAGAATCCATAATGCCATATAATTTCATAGGATAGTCAATTCAACCTGTAACATCCTGATTTTATAAGTTTACAACTGTGGCTCATACTAGTGCTCCACTATAAATGCCTTACTATACATATATATCTCTCTCAGAACATGAGATGACAACATTAAACAAATCAAAACCTTTCTTTCCCTCACCTGCTGCAAGATGGTGTAGCGTTCACGAAACAACTCGGCTTTATCCCTGGCAGTTCCAAATAAATTTGGTGCAGGATGGTTGGTCATTGATAGACTGGAAGAAAGTTAGTCATGATTTATTTATTTGTTTATTTTTTTAAAACAAAGACCCAATGATATTTTAATCTAAATCTCTATATAAGTAGGAAGCTACAAAGTCTTCAATGCTATTGCATATTTTATTTGGTCAGTGAGGGAGTTTTCTGCTAGAAATCCCATTTATTTATATATACTGAAGATTGCACTCATTTTCTCCCCTTTAACACCACCAGCACCTCTTTGTCACATCTTTCCAGCTGAGCAGCACTGGACACAACTCTGTTTCTTAAATGAATAAAGATATTATCCTTGTTCTGGCTTAGCAGCACATCTTCACACAACTCCCAGCTCCTGCCAACCTTGGAAGCTACAGAGTGGGATTCAGAATTAAAAATCTACAGCAACCATGCAGGATGCTTTCAGTAGACCAGCAGAATCATGAACAAAAGTTAAGAAAGGATTCCACTCTAAAGAAAAATAGGTATAAATTCCTTCACACATCAGTTAGCTATGAATAGATTTCTGTGTGCTACAACATAAGCAACTTGTCTATAGAGTTTACTACAAAATCAGACAAATAGGAAAAAACCACACACACTTTGTGAGGCATGAAAGCCATCTCATCGAAGGGGATGGATTAAGTGCTATATGGACTTCTTCTGTCCCTCATCAAATAGCATATAACAAAATGTTCAAACCAAAAAACTGATAGACAAATACATACAACTTAGGGCCAATATCATCACCAGCAGTACTGCATATATTGTACCAATCATCACAGAACAAAGATTACCTATTTTGACTCCATGCTACTGAAAGAGAAAGACTTGACCCATGGCCCAGTTGTAAATATATTTACCTGCCATTATTTACCATGACCTTTAAAACAGAGTAACCTAATGAGTTCAACTAATTTTGTATAGAAGTAAACCCTATTTAACAAAAAAAAAAAAACTCTCTCAAAAAGAGTTTGTTATAATCAGTTTTCTAAAGGCAGCTTGTCCACAACATATTCATTCTTGAATCACGTATCATCCATCTTGAGACCAGCACACAATCCAAGAGTGAAAGTTTGTAGATGGCAATTTTAACTATACAATAATAAAGGCTTTGATACATGAACAATTAGTAATGTCAGAAAAATAGCAGCTGAGACTTAAGAAATGGAAAGACTTACGGTAGAAACTTCTTCCTTTCTGAATTATAAACATAACGTGGAACGTCAAAGGCCCCGATAATATTGAAAATGTGTTCTCTGAAACCACAATACATTTAAAGCTTTATTTGAGAAAAGAACTATTCCAAGGAAACAGCTAACTTCAGTGCTCCACAGAAACCTCGTTTTGAGTAAAAGAATGTTAACACATCCCTTTTGTTAACTCTTTCATTCTTTTCCTTTCCAATCCCCTCCCCCGACCACTGACCATTGTATCTGCATCTTATTTACAGAAAATATTGTTTTTAAATTCTGAATGGAAATTAAAGAGAAAATAAATTGTGCGCTCCTTTTTCTTTCTGTCTTTAATTAACAAAAATTGCCAAATTTTTCAAACAAACAGAATTTGTCAAGATTATTTATTAATATGCACTGGTACCTAGTTGAAATAAAATAGTTTTGGTACGGTCAAGATAATTTTTAAAAAGTGGCTACTACATATACACGCTACTTTTCATACCATTTCATGGAAGGGTTGTATGCCACTGAATTTATTGTTGATTCCCTTCCAACAATTAATCTAAGTTTTTAATCCTTTTATTATAATTGTATCAGCTTCAGAGTTGATAAAAATTACAGCATTGACTTGTAATGTCAGGACGTATTGAATCTTACAGGCAGAAAACATCCATGGTTGCCTAAGGGAGAAAATGCCTTTGTTATGGAACAACACGGCTCTCTGACGGATGCTTTGTCTTTGAGTTTATCACAACAGAATTCAAGAGATACAGGAAGGGAGACTCTTTGGTCCACAGAGCTCTAGTGACTTCAGAGGTACTCTGCACCAGGATCTACCCATACAGATTTCTCTTCAGGATTGAGACCTAAATATGTGAGAGCAAGTATCTGAAACAAACTACTTATGTTGTTACAGTTCTAACAAACTGGCAAAAGAGAAGGTATTCCAAGTCAAATGGGGATATGCCCTCATATCTCGGAACTAGGGAGTTGCACCACCTTATTGACTTTCTTAATCATTTATCTGCTTTAGTCAGTTTGTATTACAATCCCAATAAACACAATTTTAAATAAATCCTTTCATATTATCTATAGCTATGTGTGTGTATCACACAAACACACATAATACTCTCAACAGCCCCAACAATGGCTCACAGTTTTCAAAATTCAGTAACAGTCTAGTAAAAGCATAACTGAGTAGAAAAGAGCATCATTAAATGTTTCAAGAACAAAAGATATCTTAAGAAATGCAAAAAAATAATAATTTTGATGAGTAATAATGGAAAAGAGAAAGTTCAACTGAAAATGCACAAAAATAAAGTTCATTCTCAAAAATGTTTATTTCTATTTTTGTTGGTAGATATTCAATATATACTACGTATAACAAAAAGCTATAGCATTTTAATTTCAGAATGTTAGAACCATATCACAATCCCTACAGATCTATACTTGGGAAGAAAATTTCCTAAGAAAGAATATTACTCAGTTTTAAATTAAATATCAGGAGACAAAAAACACCGAGCAATTACTCTGTTATTAGCATTGCAGAAAACATCTGACATTTATTCCCCCAAGAAGAAATCAGTGAATGCACTCTATATAGCCATAAATTTCAAATAAAAATAAATGTGTATCACCGTACATAGTTTCATCTAATGACTGGCTACATTCCTGGACTGCGGCTTCCACTGTGGCCCGTTCAATCATATTAGATGACACTGAAAAGAACATTTCATAAGATTAAAATTACAGCCTATGGAAAATGACAAGTATCAAATTAAATACACCTCTACCCCGCTATAATGCTGTCCTCGGGAGCCAAAAAAATCTTACTGCGTTATAGGTGAAACCGCATTATATCGAACTTGCTTTGATCCACCAGAGCACGCAGCCCTGCCCCCTCCCCCCCCGGAGCGCTGCTTTACCGTGTTATATCCAAATCCGTGTTATATCGGGTCGCGTTATATCGGAGTAGAGGTGTATGTTTCAAATATTTTACAAAAATGGTTCAATATCCTCCTTCATAGTGTCTCTTAAATATTATTTTCAGTAAGTTACATATGGTACCCTAAATTTTCTATGGCAAATTTCTAAAGGCAGTTCACTAAATATATTTGCCAGAAAGCTACATCTCTACACAAATCTTCATACTGTTATCTGAGTTAATTCACTCAGAATTTAGAACAAGATCATTGTAGTTAGTCCCTGTCAGCCTGCCAGAATAGCCTACAGACATTTCATTTACTGCAGGTTCATTGTTTCAGAAGCTTTTTATACAGGTTCACATAATCTGAGCATTCAACAAACTGTAGTCTTCATTGTGTCCAACTGAGATATTTTTATATTTTTGAAGTTAATTCTATCACTAGTGATAGTGCTGTCACTGTAAGAGTGGTACCTTCTTTGTAGGAAAAAGTGCATAGTTTTACTGGGTCCCAAAGAAAGCACAAAATTCCTTAAGGATTTTTCAGACAGCATTAATCCCTGAGGCTGCTTAAAGGTTTAAAAATTGTATTTTCAATTGCACAGACACATGTACGCACACACATACGTAGGCAGTACTTAAACATGAAGAAAATTTAAAATTTAGTTTTCAAAGCTTTAAAATTGGTAACGTTTTTGTTCTAAATCCAAGATGGAAGCCATGACCTGGAATTAAATAATTTCACTACTACTGGGACAGTCAGGAGAAGCAGGGCTGCCAGACTTCTGAAGTGGCAAAATTACATTGTTTTTTGATGAAGTGATAAACCTTAATATTTAGCAAAACAGGAAGTCAACAGTAAATATATGTAACATACATCTATGTTCAAACAGCTTGACTAGAACAAACACCTTAGTGAGCTTTCAGTAGGTTTTTCTTTTTACAGATAACATAAAGGCAGGATTGGTTTAGAAAAAAAAGTTACTTACAAGGCTGTTTTTCAACAGCATCAATGATGTTTTCTATTACATCTTCAAGCTCTAACTCATTGACAGACTGAAGAGCTTCAATAAGGTATTTATTAGCTTCACTAATTGGAATGAAAAAATAAGTTAGCCAAGATAAGAAATTAATATTCAATACATAAATTATATGCTTTATAGCCACTATTATAATATTGGCACGTGCACACACAACTGCTATAAGGCTTGTGGTTATTAGCGAGAAAGAGCATAGAAATAATTATCCTGATCCCATCTAAATCAAAGATGCTCTGAAATTAAAAAAGCTCCAAGAATAGAAAAATTAAGTATAAAGCAGCAGGCCTTGGTGATCTCAATAGATCCTAAAGGCAGGATGCTCACTGGACAATCCAATGTCCTACCCTACTATGTTGGCTTTTAAGGAGAAGGCAACACAAAGTCTGATCTATCCTAGAGACATCATCATCTTTGGGGAGACTTATTCTCTTGACACAGTTGAAGTATGATGCTCTGAATACTATCCATGGAAACGTTAAAAATAAAAGGGAGAGAAGACAGACATATAAAAGGGAAGGGAATGAAGGAAGAAAGGAGAGAAAATACAGGGAAAAATATTCCTTCCACTTGGACCAGAAACTCAAATTATTATATTCAAAATACCACCGACTCGCTCCCACAGTTCTGGAGTTCCCACTCATCTGAAGGAAGTATTGAAAAGGAAGGATAGAAGCTCTCTTCTTACAAAAAAAAATTGACAATCAGAGTAGTTCTAAGATGTGTATCTATAGACAGGGCTGTCAGATGCCTCACACTGCCAGTATAACTATTATTTTACAATAGAAGGGGGGGGGGGAATCAATATAAGAGCTATTTTAAAAAGCAATATATAATTCCACTTAAAGTAAGATTTTTTCATCTGCAGTCCTTCCCTAAAACTCATACTAAAGGCCAGTATTTAAAGAAAAGCAATTCTGTGATTAATATCATCTAACAGCTGATCAAAAATTACATTTTTTGTCAACAGTATGAACTTCAAAATATTTCACAACATTTAACCCCTGGGTCCCGGGAGCTCTGAACTTAGAATCCTCAGAAATCTCAGTAATAAAATAACTGTAGGACACTGTCCAAAACAATTGTTTTTAAAAAATGTTTTTTAAAAAATGTAATGCCCTGCATAACTGAATCCCCTGTCCAAGCCAAAAGGAAAAGAGAATCACTATTGTAATAAGTTCTCTAGACAAACAAATATGAGCAACAGAACCACATTATTGTAAATAATTGAGCACTGAAATGAGGATATTAGTGGTTGGGTGTAAGTCTCCTGTTAGGCTTTGTCTATAGTGGAACCTGAACGACAAAACTTTTGTTGTTCAGAGGTGGGGGGAAAAAAAAACGCACCCTGAACGAGAAAAGTTTTGCAGACAAAAAGCGCCCATGTGAAAAGCACTCTGTCAGGGGGAGAGCTCTCCTGCCGACAAAGCTACGGCCGCTCATTGGAGGTGGAAGTTTTTTGACGGTGGGAGAACTCTCTCCTGCCGACAAACAGCGGCTACACTGCGCGCCTTTTAGCGGCATGGCAGTAGTGGCACAGCTGTGTTGCTAAAAGGTGTATAGGGTAGACATAGCCTTAGATTCTTTCTAGACTAACCCTAGGCCTGCCCTCAGATCAGGCTACCAATGGTGTTGAGATGCACAGAATGCTCTACACAGCCATGTTAATTTCCATGAGGAACCTACTTGAAAAATAAACTCATTTCCTTTGCAACCATAGGCCCTAATCCTCAAAAAAAATTAGGTACATAAATGACTTTATGCACTGTGAACCCCATGGGACTACTCATAGTGTGCAAACTAAGCATCTGCCTAAGTCTTTGTAGGGCCTAATTATTTGAGATTTAAACCATAGTTAATAAATTTTATACCCATGTAAAGGGAGATCATAGGTCATAAATCTCACACACAAAGTTTATGATGAACCCTAATCTGTAGCATGAACCTACTCCTATTCTCAAGGCTTTTATTCAGTAAGCCACAATTGAGTATTCTATTATTTCTGTTTACAATACTTTTAAGTGCAAGAGAAATAAAAGCCTGCCAGCTGGGTTGCAGGAACAGAAGTGACACCAGATAGTATAAAGCTTATACATCCCAAGCATGTCTGGTGAGTGATAGCTGGACTAGTGGTTCCATACTGAGGACTGTATTTAAAAAGACAAAGGATTCCTTCAACCACTAGCAGGAAGAGTTTTACTTCTGTTCCAGTATAACACCAAGATTAAGGCCCAGATCCTCAGAAGTACTTAGGCTTCTAACTTCCACTGATTTCAATGGAAGTTAGGAGCCTAAATACCTGTGCAGCTCTGGGCTGAAGCCCGTAAGATCTGTACCACGTATTCTCATTATTGGGCAGACAAGACATTACACGTTAAAGTGCCTGACTGCTGCTGTCTCTAGCCTGGAAGGACGTATTTTCCACCTCCCCAGATTTTTCTATGGGCCCATTATCGTGCACTGGGAACACACTGAGGAGTATGTTTCTGAGTATCAGTGTCTCCCACTGGTGATGGAGGACGGTGGGTCACCCGCGGGCGGGCCAGGCTCTCCCCACTTGGGGCTACCAGGGTCGGGAGGAGGAATCAATCGCTGTTATCAGCCGCTCCCCGCCCCCCAAGCACGGGAAGGGGGCGCCGCCACTCTCCACGCTCGCTCTGTGCCACCCCGAGCCGAGCCGGGCCGGGCCCGGCCGCGGGCGGAGAGCGGGCCCCGAGCCTCTAACGGGCCGGCTACTCACGCTCGGAGCAGCAAACCGTGCATCTTGAAGGCAGAGCCCACTTTGCTCCTCAGCTTCTCTGCAGCCATCTTGAACAGTTGGCGCCACGACGGCCCCGCCTCTAGGGGCTGGGCCGGGCCTGTCCCCGGCCAATGAGGCGGGGCGGGGCGGGGCGGGGGACGCAACGGCTCCCGTGGGCGGTCTCAAGCTGCGCTCTAAGTTCCCCTCAGCTGGGGCAGGCGCC